GCAAAAGAACATCTCAACTAAAGAAAAAGGTCGTATTAGAACAATTAAGTTATATTTTGAATTGGGAGAAAAAGTTATGGGTTTAGATAATCAATTATGTTATAAGTGATAAATAAGTTTAGGTTTGTCCTTTTTACCTAATAATTAACATATATACTGTTTTTCTATAGTTAAACCCAAAGAAAATTTTTAATATTTTAGGGGGCTGGGGCCTCAAGCCCTTGGCCTAACCCCTAGCTTAAGGGTTTTATTTCTCATGGTATCTGTATCTTTCCAATGATATCTCCAGATATTGTAGTTTTCAGTTTTTATACTCTTAATTGTTGTAAAATGTATGACTAATATATATATTCTCTTTGTTTTTTTTAAGAGATATGTTAAAACTTTCAAATTTAAACTTCAATGTAAGTGAAGAGAGATTTGAAAAGATAGGAAGCAATTTCCTCTCTCGTGGTGTATGATTTATTATACTATAATATTGCCAACTATTATTATGATTTCAAGATCATAACTCCTTTAAAAAACATGATAATATTTAAAAATTTAAAATTTAAGTCTTAACAATTACAAATCCTATCCTCTACCTGTGCTAGTTAAAAAAAAAAAAAATTCTACCATAATATTAAGGACTTATCTAAAAGGTACAATTAATATATTTTTTTATATTAATTAGTATAAAAAAATAAAAACTAATATTAATTTTATCACTAATACTATATATATTGTTTTAATTGATGATTAATTAAATAAATATTAAATTTATTTTTTTTTAATAATAATTAATATTAAAAAATATTCTTAATTTTTAATATTAACCTTTCAATATTCGATAATTATATTAAATTCTTACTAATTTAGTATCGTGTCACGTCAAACCCATAAAAGAAAGTTCTCTTAACATTTATATCTTTATTCATATGATTCAAACTCAAAATTTTATTTTAAAAAAAACAAAATTTTTTTATTTGAATTAATAAATTATTGATAAAAATATATTCTTAATTTTTTAAATATATCTAAGTGAACTATACAGAGAAAGATAGTCCTTCTTTTTTCTTTTTTTTTTTTAATTCTTGCTAGTCTAAAGAAATGTTATTAATTAATACCGTTAAGATACGGGAAAAAATAACCTTAATATCAAAGAGCAATGCTAGGGGCACTTGCCTCCTGTACTCTCCGGCAAACACTTTCACTTTTATTGGGCCACGTCATATTGGTTGCAAGAGGTTGCATTCCAAAGCCTCAAACAAGCTTACGTGGCCCAATGAAAGGGGAAGTGTCAGGCGGAGAGTGCAAGAGGCGAGTGCCCCTAGCACTGCTCAATATCAAATCCAAAATCCAAGGTTACAGAAGCCAGCGGGTCATTGGTGCAGTGATGTCTGCCAAGACCCAGAGAGCGAGAGAAACCATAGATTGCCAGTTACGTAATTTTGAGAAAGTTGGAGTCTTCTATGTATTACCAGCCAACACAAATGCACGCAACTCAACTCTAGTGCATTAATAAGTTTTCCCTCCCACGCTCCCTCCTAACACCTTCCATCGACCCTCAAAATCTATGGAGGAAAGAGCAGGAAAGTGAGGGAAAATTTTAGTGGGCAAAAGAAAATAGAGTGAAAATTGCATTTTTTTAATTTTTTGAGATATTAAGAGAAAGAAACGGTAGATTGAGGGAGGCAAAAAGAAGAAAGGAGAGAAATGAAGCACATTTTCAAGAAGCTACACAAAGGCCATAATCAGGAGCCTAATCGGACCAACGAGACGCCACCGCCGTCTCTCTCATGTGCCACCGATCATCAACGTACCATGTCCGGAAACTCTCCGACGAGTCCCTCCACGTCTGTTCCGGTTACTGTTCCGACGAGCTTTGGGAATACTACAGCAGCGTCGACTGTGTCGGCAAATAATAGTACCGATTACATGTTGTCGGAGGTGGAGTTCCAGGTTCAGTTAGCTCTAGCGATCAGCGCGTCGAATTCGGAGGATCCCGAGAAGGATCAGATCCGCGCGGTGACTCTGCTGAGCTTGGGCGGCCATCATCAGATGGATACAGGCGGGGATAGGGAGGAGGTGCCCGCAGAGGATTTATCGAGACATTATTGGGTGAGTGTTCGTCAACTTTTTCCTTACCCATTTTGAGGTCGAATTGGATTCAAGTTGGAATGGGTTTTGTAGTGTTGGTGCTGGTGGATTGTACTGAATGAGCTTACTTAAATTAGGGGCTTTTGGTCTGTGCCTATAAGTGATTTTGAATTTCTGGGAATTAGAGCAAGTTACCATGGAATTGTGTAAATATGGCCATTCTTTTTTTTTTTTTTTTTTTGGTGAAGAAAACTGTAACCTTGAGTATTCTAGCATCTTGCTTTTTTTTTGAGTTAATCTAGTGGAGAGAGCATGAGTTGGAGAAAAGGGCTCTGATTTAAAGAAATGGCTCTGATTTGAAGAAATGATTACTTGGGTTATAGTACTTAATCCTAGCTCTTCTGAAATCTGGCAGTGATCCATTTTTGGATGACGGCAAATAATGTTTCGCAACACTTAATGATGAAACATTAATTTTAATGGATTCAATAAAATTTAAATGCATGAATTAGGTTTGGATTGCTGATTAGTGTTGGCAGTTGCTGCGGTTTGGTTTTGGATTGTTAGGGTTAATGCAATTTACCCTCAGGTTAGTAAAAATGATGAATTGCAGCACCATAAAGTGTTTCACTCTATGAAATTGTAGTGGATGAGGTTGAACTAAGGATTATTAATTGCGTTTTGGTGATTAAAGCTTGGAGTTTGGTGTTAATAACCCAACTGCATTTTATATCTAGTTTTAGATTATATATTGCTGGCCAACAAATTTCATTGCTACCATTTTGGACTTGCATAATTTGTAGTTAAGAAAATTATGATCATCTTAATTATTTGAGTCCTGCATTTTCAATTTTAGTGGCTGAGTTGGAATGGTTACATTTCTTGATTACATACATTGAATTCTTGATCCTTGCTTAATTTGGGGAAGGAGTATCTGCTGTGTACTATTCTTTTGTTTTCTACTTTGTGAGGCTTTATTCAATCAAGTAAGTAGTTGATTTTTTGATAGAAATGTGATTTAAAATCTGAAAATTTTGTTTATGTGGTTTAAGTTATGTTGAAGTGATAATATTGACTAAAAAATCAGTTGTTGCCAAATCTAGTTCACTTAAACAATTTAACGTGTAGAAAATTTTTCTATTTAAGAATGCAATCAAATATCTGATTTTTTGGCCAGTTTAAAATATATATTCTCCATGCTGGAATGTCTTTCAGTTATATTGAGATTTGAAAGTTTCTTGTACACTGTTACTTCATATTAATGCTTGACTGTAATTTATTTAGATATATTGGTATGCTGTACTGTTTCGGTAGTTATTCTATTTGGCTTGACTTTTGTTAGGTGTTTTAATGCACCAGGAGTACAGTGTGCTTGATGATGAAGACAAAAGTGGTTGATGGTTTCTATGACGTGTATGGGCCTTCCTCAAATTCAGCACTCCAAGGAAAAATGCCATCTCTTGCAGATCTTGAGACAAATCTTGGGAATTATGGCTTTGAAGTTGTGGTTGTCAATCAAACAATTGACCCTGTCTTAGAAGAGCTGGTGCAAATTGCACATTGTATTGCATTAGATTGCCCTGCTAGTAACGTTAGTGTTTTAGTCCAAAAGCTTGCTGAATTTGTCACAGGCCACATGGGTGGAGCTGTTAAGGATGCTAATATAATGTTGGCAAGGTGAATGGAAAGGAGCACAGAATTGAGAACATCTCTTCATACAAGTTTGTTGCATATTGGGTGCATTAATTTAGGATTGTCTCGGCATCGTGCTTTACTTTTAAAGGTTAGTTATTTCGTTTTTTGCAAATAATTAGGAACTTACGTAGCTTTGTTGAAAGTAACGTAGAGCATATTATGATTAACTTGCTTACGGGGAAAATTTGAATATTTAATTAAAATAAAATATAAGAACATGGTTAAAATAGCCTTTTCTTCAACCTGTCACCTAACCCTTTCTCTGTTTTCTTCTTTCTCTCTTTCATCTCTTAAATCAGCCTTCCTCTTCAATGGAACACATTGAAGAAGAAAATAAGATTTTTTTTTTTCTGGTTTACTCGAAAATGGCTACACTTAGAAATCTAAGTTTTCTCAAGAACCAACATGTTGAGACCGAGAGGGGATTGGGCGTGGAGACCAAGCAGAG